GAGTCATTAGAGACTCAAAACCAAAAGACCAGCTACATCTGGAAGTTTGAAGTATTAACCCAGTAATTAATCCAAGGACAATACTAACGACAAAAGTAGAAATGAGAAGGCATTTAAACAAGACACAAACACAGACTTCTACCCCACCAAAGGTAAACTCTGGGGGAAATGAGGTGGAAAAGTCTGACAGTCAACCATCTGGACACCCTGAACTGATAGCATAGGAAGTAACAAAGCAGATAAATAAAGTATAGTTTCAAATTGTTATACCCGCTGCCATGTGTCTGTTGACTAGGATGGCTTTTGCTATTCTAGGTCTCTTCTGGTTCCAAATGAATTTTTGGATTCTTTTTTCTAGTTCTGAGAAATATAGTGTTGGAATTTCAATCGGCATTGCATTGAATCTGTATAGCAGTTTTGGTAGTATGGTCATTTTCACTATGTTGATTCTTCCTGCCCAGGAGCAGGGGATATCTTTCCATTTTCTTATACCCTCTTTGGTCTCTTTTTTCAGAGTGCTGTAGTTTTCAGTGAACAGAGATTTCTCAGACAAAGAAGTAAAAGCAGCAAGAAAATATATGAAAGAATGTTCCACACCACTGGTCATTCAAGAGATGCAGATGAAAACAACACTGAGATTCCACCTCACCCCACAAAGAATGGCTACTATCAAGAAATCACTCAATAACAAATGTTGGTGGGGTTACGGGGAGAAAGGAACCCTTCTCCATTGTTGGTGGGAGTGCAGACTAGTGCAACCACTATGGAAATCAATATGGAGATACCTCAAAGAGCTGGGACTAGAGGTTCCATTTTATCCAGGCATCCCTGTGCTGGGCATCTTTCCAAAAGAATTAAAAGAATCATAACACCATGATATATGCACACCAATGTTTATAGCAGCATAGTTTGTAATAACTAAAACTTGGACACAACCCAAATGCCCATCAACTGGCGAATGGATAAAGACGATGTGGTTTTTCTACAAAATGGAGTACTACTCAGCCATAAAGAATGAGAAACTAGATACATTTATAGCTAAATGGATGCACATCAAGGCTATACTCAAGTGAAATAAATAGGACTCTCTTGAGTAAATATCAACTTGTTTCTCTGGTATGAAAAACTAAAAGGTTCAAATGGTATAGTTGATTTTGTGAAATAGGAAGAAAATGGCTAAAGAGTAAGTGGGAAGGAGAGGGGAAAAGAAATAAGGCAAAATAAAAAATGTGAAAAAATGGAACAAAATCTTTGTAAATAAGGAAGGGTGAAGTAGGTGAAGGGAGAGCAGGGGTATGGGTAAAAAATAAGAACCAACACAAATCGTGTAAAGGTACAAGATCCCAGTGATAAATGTAACTGTTTTGTTTGCTTTAAATGTACCAATAAACTCATTGGGGAAAAATAAACCACTTAGATAATACAGAGGCCAAGAGGCACATGCAGACACACATTTGTTACGTGCATGGACACCTCGTAGGCCCGTTTCAACTTCAAAGAAGCTTGTTTTAGCCCTATAGGTGACCAGTAGTCCACAGTCTAAGTCAGAGTGATCTGAACCCTGGTTCTTTTTTATTACTGGGGATTGAACTCGGGTCCTGAACCCCGGTCAGTTTTTGGTATAAAAACTTCTAGACAAAGTCGTCATGGCAACTCACTTCCAGGTCCCTTCCTGACTACTGTAGGCTATTTTTCTCTTCCTAACAAACATTCCTCCTGTCTACCTCCTTTGCTCTCAATTTTTTTCTTTGACTTGGTGAGACATACATCTAGATTATGTTCTTACAGTGATAACGCGATAATGGGCATCCTTGCCTTGTTCCTGATTGTAGAGTTACCTCTTTTTTTTAAGTTTCTCCCCATTTTATATGTTGGCAGCAGGTCTGTCAAAAGTGGGAAGCAGTTTCACACTGATGTCCAGAAGCTGTTTTTGCCTCAAAGTTACCTTTTTGCAAGGGAAATGTGACTTATGAGGCATTTTCAAATTTTAGGATGATTTGGTGGTATTTAAATTGTCTTATTCCTTATGAATTTTAATAAATTACAGAATGTGTTATTTGCTTAGAAAAGTGGGACTTGGGGTTGTCTTCAGGTTGTTCCAGGAAGATCCAGTGTATAAAAACCAGCTGCCAATGGCAGAAAGTGCCAAGAACATGAAGAACAAGGCAGAAAAATCCAGGATTGCACAACGCAATTTATTAGGGAATTTTGGACATTATATCTGCTGGCAGCACAACTTGAGGATCTCCACAAACTGAGGCAGGAGGAGGAGTTTATACGTTAAGCTAAATAAAGGTGGGGTACGGCCAAGTGCAATGTACACAGGCTTTCTTAAAAAAAACTTACTTGTGGGCTGGAGCTCAGGCTCCACAGTGGAACACTCATCTAGCATGTGAAGGACCAAAGATTTGATCCCTAGCCTTGCAAAAGCCAAAACTATTCATATGTCAGATGTAGTTAAGAAAGTCTTGGTATCAATGGGTGGCAAAAAAAAAAAAAAGATGCGTGGCTATCTTAATGCCTGTGTTTATCCTACAGGGCTTGGAATTCAAGTTGGGGTGACCCACTAGGCAAAATGGAGGTTACAATCAACACAGCTACAGTCATGTCAAGCTGATATGTACAGTGGTATACACTGGTCTTGCCAGAGGCCTTGCACAGAATACCTCTGAGGCCTCTTACCTAAATCGAGATAGTTAAAAGCAAGTATGAGGCAGGAAATAGTAAAGTAGCTCTCAAACATTAGATTTCTCCAAAGAGAAAATAGCGATATCCCTCCATTTCACCACGGCAGCCCCTGGCCTGTTGATTCCTTTTCTTTCTTCTTGTTGGCAGCCGGGAGAGCACGAAGCTCTTGCAAGACTGTGAGTGATTCCACAGTGTTACTGCCCAAGGAGGGCAATTTTTGTTTCCTTATTTGGGGGCTTGACTACAAGAGTGTATTCCTGGGTGCTTGCATGGTTTATCTGATATAATCAGTTGATGCTTCAGTTTTCTGGTAGTTTTAGTGTATAAAATCACTGTGAACCCTGAATTAGTTTTTCTAGGGATCATACAGAGTTAGGTACTTGTCAGACCCTTTTCACGGTTTTTGTCCACTGATCAACACATAACCTTGTTTTATGTGTGTTTCTATTTAGACACTGTGTCCGGTTACTGAATCATTAACATGGACCTCATGACTAACCACACTGTACGTAACACAGGCCTGAATGACCTGACCTTGAGTTTTCTTAGACCCTTCTCGCCTCAGGAGACTAACCAGCCGTTCTGGTCTATGCTCGGGGACCATTTCATTGTTCTGGTTTTTGGGACAGGGTCTCGCTAATATAGTCAGGCTGGCCTCGAACTCACTATGTAGCCCAGGCTGGCCTTGATTTGTAGCAATCATTCTGCCTCAGTCTGCGTGGTGGGATTACATGTGTGTGCCACATTCCCAGCTCTTCGCTTGGGAACCATTTTAAAGAGCAATCCCAAAAAAAGGAGCACGCACACACACACACACACACACACACACACACACACACACACACACACACACACACAAAAGTGAAAAACACAGCACAAAATAGACTGTGGAAAGAACACTTTGTTAGGGCTGAGCTGAAACAAGATGGCAGAGCCTGGCTTGTTCCACCTCATTCAGTGGAACACATACAAGGCTCTGGTTTTTCCCCACTTTGGACAGATCCATGATTATGAAAGTACCTTGAGCTGTGCTTTTAGGGTTGCAAATACATTTTAGCTTTGCACAAATTCACAAATACTGACTCTATAGTATAAGTCAGTGATGGCGAACCTTTTAGGGCTTTCAATGATAACAAACAGTCTGCTGTGGCACATGTGCCATAGGTTCGCCACCACTGGTAAAGTAATCCCAACCACTGGTCAGGAAACCCCCTCCACCCATCACAGTCTGCTGAGTAGATTAGAGGCTGGTTAAGTGTTGTGAGAGGAAATGACATTCCATTTCAGATATCATTTGTTTAAATTATTTCCTTCAGATGAACAATTACCTCACCAAATAATTTCCCTCAGGTTTCTACTTATGAGAAACTTGGTCAGGGACTTAGGCATGTGCAAAGATATGCAGAACACAGGGGTTCTGTCCAGTGGAAGAGGAAAACGTGGCTGTGCATTTCCATAATGAGGATAAAACGTACACTTCCCACAGCTAAATGTGAAGTGCTGTGGTGACACAGAGGGTGGCATTAGTTCCAGCCTGCTCCCGTCAATGGAGGAGCTTGAATTTAACCTGAGCCATAAGTGTACATCTGGGAATAGGGCAGCAGCAGGGCAGCCTGAAGAAGCAGCACAATTATGACAGTTTCTAAAAGCAGAAAGAGCATGAGCAAAGGCACTGAGGCAGGGGGGCATGGGGAGCAAGCACTGCAAAAATTCTGGTGGGTAAGGGGCAAGTACTGTAAGAACAGAAAAGTACGTCAGGATCCAACTGGAGAGAGATTTAACAGTACTCTCCATGGACTTTTTTCTGTTATCATATCACTGGAAGCCAAGGTAGAGTTTTAGAACAAAAAAAAATCAGGTGACAGCAACTAGTAGCAGCTAAAATATGTGAACACTATGTGCAGGTACTTACTAAGTAGTATGACCTTTTGCAGTTAGCTGTTGAGGCCTTACCATGTACTCAGTACTCTATTAGGCACCTTATATGTTGATTTAATACAATAATCATTGAGATGAGATCTGTTCAATTTTATACATAAAGAAATTAAAGCCTGGGGAAAAAATTTCTCAGCTACAAAGTGGCCTCACCTCTAAATACTCTATATTATACTTAAAAACAAAACCAGTATTCTGTCAGGCACAGTATTGCACACCTACAATCTCAGCACTCTGGGAGGCTGAGACAAGAGGATCACAAGTTTGAGCCCAGAGTGGACAAATCAGTGACTTATCAAGATCCTGTCTCAGAAAAAAAAAAAAAAAAAAAAAAAAAAAAAAAAGAAGAAGAAAAAGGTGAGTTCACTAGGGATGGAGCTCAGTGATAAGGCCCTGAGTGCACACCTCAGCACTATGAATAAAAAAGCCAGTATTCTATATTTTGTATTTTGCTTGTTTAATTCAAAGATACATCATAAGATGGGGTTGTAGCTCAGTGGTATAGCACTTGCCTAGCCTGCCTGAGGATCTGGGTTTAATCTCCAGTACCACAAAGTCCCCAGCTAGACAGACAGATTGTGGTACCATAGTTATTCTTCCCCACTCCTGGAATTACATGCTACCACCATTGGTACTGCTTCCCATAATCATGTCCCTGGAGCAGTAACACTAGACAAATATTTGCAGATGGAGATCTGCACAGCTGGCACCCTTACAAATGCAGCACTGGTTTGTGACGGAGGTCAACTGACAAAACTTGAAACCTTTATATTTGGGAACCAAGATATGCCACTGACTGGGAGAGTGTTTCTTAAAGGGAAAATGTTTTGGGGGGGATTAAGGCCAAAGCAAACATTGATACTTACAAGCACTCTGACAGCTCAAGGCTGGAAATCCCACACTGCGCTACTTGTCAGCCCGTTGTTTTGCTGCTTAGTGGCCTCTGGAAGTGAGTATTCTGCCACCTTGCGCAGTTCATGCCAAATGCTGTGCCCACTGCATGGGGACCGGCCAGGGTCGCCGATGAGCACTTGAGTCCCGAAGGTCCAAGTGGACCTCTTCAGCCACCCGTGAAGACTGTCGGCCAGGGCTTCATCATAAAGCATATCTCCAAGGACGACAAGGTCCCACTGATCTTGTTCCACGCTAAGAATGTTTTTGGTTAAAATGGGAAAAGGACTGAGTTGATTCAATTCGCAGTTTAGTGTAATAGCCATTCCTGCAACTGTACAAAAGCATAAGATGAATTGGTACATTGGACACACCACAGACTGTTTTGATCCCCCGCTGATTAACCTAAATACTTTTTAAAACTTCCTCGTGATGTTGTTTTCCTTTGTATTAAACATAGGGTTTTTCTTTTTTGGATCAAGAAATTGAAATTTTATGCTAATATACATTATATACTGCAATCTCCAAGTACATGTCTAGATATTCTAAAAACAAAAGAAACAATGCAGAACACCTGGAAATGTTGGGGTTTGAGAAGATTCACTCTTAACAATCCTAGGATGTCTGCAGTGTTTTGTTTGTTTTTTCCTGTGGACAGGGAAACAAGCCTGTGGCTATTAGCAAGGCAGCGTGTTAGAACTGAGACCCCCCCCCACATAAAGCAAGGGCTCCTAAGGGCTGAATCATCAGTGTAAGGGTGGACCAGAAGACAATGAGATGAAATAAAAACCTATTTGTCCCAATTCCGGTCCAAACCAATATAAGTCTCCCACAAAGACACAGGCCTCGCTTAAACTGAGTTTGGGGTCACATAAACATTTCTTCCATATTTCAGGGGAATCACCTAACTCAGAAACTAACATCAGCACTCCCAGGGTGGTGTCCCTCCAGGAGGCCTGGGAAATATAAATGCTATTCTTCCTAGGAAAAAATGCATTTATCAGCTGAGGCCTCAGATAAGACTCCCACACACAATGTCCCACTGAACACTCACAATAGCAGATGACAAACACACACAGCCGTAAACTCTTGCACCGGAGCGCCTATACATACTTATCCTGAGAAAACAAGAAGATAAGCGTCACACATTTTTAGACATAAAATCCTCACCAGGGTCTATGTCGTTGGCCAAGATCCTCGATGCGCCGCTCATCTGAGCAGCAATAGCTGTAGCTCCACATCCACTCCCAAGATCCAACACGGATTTTCCCCTGACAACATCTGGATTATCCAAAAGATACCTAAGTTAGAAAGAAAGGACAAGATGTATATCAGGGAGAGGGAAAAAGGTCAGTAAGAGATATAGATATATATATATATATAGATTTAGATATAGATATAGATATAGATATAGATATAGATATAGATGATATAGATATTCGTGAACAGAAAGGGCAAAGAAGTAGAATCTGGCAGATGAACTTGGTCCAATTTGTAAGTTACCCTGGACCACACTGAAACACAGGCCAATCTTCCATGCATGGCAGAGGTGGTGAGGACAACTGTCATTCCGTTCAGCAACTGAAAGAGCAGCCCCATACTAATCATGTGCTTCAAATCAGCTTTTCTGCTTGTTCTTTTTGGGGTACTACAGATTGAACCCAGGACATTCTCACTGACCACATCCCCACCACCCCTCCTTTTTTTTTTCCCCCTGAGACAGGGTCTTGCTAAGTGGTTAGGTTGCCTGAGGGTGAGTCTGAACTGTCAATCTTCCTGCCTCAACCACCTAAAGTGCTGGGATTACAGGTCTGTGCCACCATGCCTGGCTTCACTAAAAAACAAAAAAAAAAAAAAAAAAAAAAAATAGGACTAAAAGTGTAGTTCACTGGTAGAGGGCTTACTTAGTAGGCATGAAGTCCTGGTTTGAACCCCAACACTGGAAATAAGAGTTTTGGGCACTTAAACCATAATCTAGAAGCCGGGTATGGTGGTGCACACCTGTAATCCCAGCACTCAGGAGGCTGAGGCAGGAGGATCGCTGTGAGTTTGAGACCAGCCGGGGCTACACAGTAAGTTCCAGGTCAGTCTCAACTACATAGTGAGACCCTGTCTCAAAAAACAAAAACAAACAAACAAACAAAAAACATAATCCAGAAACTACTAAATGCCAGGAGCTAAGACTGACAAATACTGCTACCAGTAGGACCAAGTAAATTACATCCAAATTTACTGTATCCTTTTGATTGTGTATCACAGAGTGATATTTTTCCCCCTTGGTTTGTTTCTTTGTGTTCTTGTTTTCTTGGTTAATTGTTCTTTGGCTGTATTGTGGATGAAACCCAGGGACACTATCACTGATCTACATCCCCAGTCCTTTGTTATTTTAAAATTTTGAGACAGGGTCTCACTAAATTGCCCATGGCAGCCTTCATTTGTGATGTTCCTGCCTCAGCTTCCCAACTGCTGGGATTACAGAGGCACACCACCGCACCTGGCCCTCATAGAGTGACTTTTTGGTGGCAGGGGGGGGTGAGACAGGGTCTCGCTTTGTAGTTCAGGCTGGCACTGAACTCACTAAGTAGCCCAGACTGTCCTCAAACTCAAGGTGATCCTCCTGCCTCAGCCTCTGGAGTGCAGAGATCATAGGCGTGTACCATCACACCCAACCCTACAGAGTGACTTTTGACATGTGAGTTGCACTACAGTCTCCTCTTTGGTAAGGCACAAAACAAAGCACAGTTCGACCAAGGAATTTGGACCAAACAGGGGGTAACGGATGAAGAAATGCTGAAATAATAAATGTCAGATGACATTTGGTCTAAGAGGTAGAAAAATAGGAGTTAAGAAATAAGAACAGTGGGGACTCTGGGAAAGTAGGAGTGTCAGTACCCTTTCTGAAGGTGCTGCTTGTCTTCAACTGATTGTTGGCTCACCGAACCACAGTGCTATTGGGTCTAGAGTGGTGGCACATACCTGTAATGTCAGGTACTTGGGTGGCTGAAGCAGGAAAACTGCAAGTTTGAGGCTACCTGGACAACTTCGTGACTTAGTCGGTCCCTGTCTCAAAATAAAATTTTAAAAAGGGCTGAAGATGTAGCTCAGCCCTGCAGCACTTGCCTAGCATGTGAGAGGCCCTGGTTCAATCCCACATACACAAAACATAAATAAATACGTGAAGGATACCATTGTTAGTACCCTGTTTTTCAAAGCAAAGTGAAGTCTTACATAAAATCTCTCAAGTTGTAAGTGTTAGAAAGTAATTTTCCAAAAAATTACAAAGTATGGGCCAAATACAACACAACTATGGGCCACGAGTGTATGATCTCTAACTCAGCCTCTTCAGGAGGTTGATGACATTTCAAGTTGATACACAATCGCTTTAACAGACATCATTTAAAATGTCAGCATCTTTAAAATATGATGTAACTAAAGCTTGAAAATCTGGCACTACGACAATCAGAAAGTTAAAAGTGTTCAATACCATATGAAAAACTTTCTAGTTCTCAGAGTCCTCCCCTCCAACAAACCTCTATGCTTACATTTAAAACTATATACAGGGTAGGTGGCACAGTACTGGGGGGGGCGCGGAATACGCATATATATTTTTATATATTGCCAGAGCACAACAGCACACACCTGTTAATCCTAGCTACACAAAAGACTGAGTGTGACAAGAGGATCTGAGTTTAAGGCTTAAGGCCAGCCTGGGCAATTAAGCAAGATCCCACCCTATCCTAGTCTTCACAAAATAACCCTCCATACATCTTGGACTTTGTAAGCCACACCACTGGTGTGAAACAGAAGTCCCTTATCCTCCTCGTTTCACAGTTCTATAACTTCAAGGCATAACCAGATTAAATCACCATCAGTGCTCCAGCCAAGACCACATCGACATGCTAAAAGCTCTGGCCTCGGCTTCAGAGGCCGTGTTTTAATAAAAAGCATGGTGTGACTATGTGAGCAAATGCCCCAAGACTTGGTGGCACAGGGGATGAAAGGCGGGGGGACCCTAAACATGCCGATCTGCACCTGGAGTTCACTTGAGACGTCAACGAACCCAGAGAAGAGAGAAGCCTTGAATGGCCCCACTCACACTTTCTGCTCCACGGAGAAGCAGCCATGAGGGGCGGCTGACAGGATTAAAGCAGGGTGGCAGGAGTGGGTCTGTAGGTGCCGTCTGGGAACTCAGTGCTGGCCATACCCACAACCTAAGCACAGTGTGTGACTTCTAGATCTCTCAGACGCCTCACATTTTGAGAGCTGGCCTGACAATTTCTCATGGGGCGGGATCTATATTTGGGGAAATGCATTGATAAACTTGGATAAGGAGGTAAAACTATGCCACAAAGTACAAAAAAAAAAAAAAAGGCTAAACTTCTCTAAATAAGAAATCAAGCTGACAAGGGGAAAAAATAAGAACCAAGACTTGTAACTGTACTGTATCCCTAAAATGTACCAATAAACTCAATTAAAGCTGGAAAAAAAGAAAAAGAAAACAAGCTGGGCATGGGGGTGCACACCCTTAATCTCGGCACAATGGGAGGCAGAAGCAGGAGTTTGAGGCCAGCTTGGGCAACTCAACAAGATCTTGTCTCAAAATTAAAAATTAAACAAGGGGCTGAGGACGTAGCTTATTATAAATGCCCTGGGTTCAATCCTAGAATACTGAGGGAGAGGAAAAGAAAGAAAAAGGAATTACAAGACTTTGGGATTTGAGGGGGCAATTTTTTAAATTATATTTTTCCAGAACTGGAGATTGAACCCAAGTTTGCCTTTCCAGGCAAGTCTTATACCACTGAACTATAACCCCAACGCTTTTTTTTTTTTTTCAATTTTGAGAGAGAATCTCACTGAGTTGCCCAGGCTGGCCTCAAACTTGCAGTCCTCATGTCTCAGCCACCTAGGTAACTGTGATTACTGTACTTAGGCAGCTTTTCTGGAAGTCCTCCTGGAAGCCAAACCTTTCCCTTTGGCCTATGGGCAGATACTCCCACCACAGACAAGTCTGGGTCAGTGCAGGTCTCCATAAATTTGGACTTTTGCTGTTGTGTGGGGCAGGAGAACGTAAGTTGGAGATGCTGAAAGGAGAAAGGATCTGTGACAGCCTTAAAGGTTCCCAACTTGATAGGACAGTACCTAGACAGGGCCTGGCCTCCTGGCCAGTAGATTGCCCAGTAAGGATCGCCATGGGGCCACAGGTCAGCTCTCTCCCACCAGAACTTGCATCTGGGGGTCAAAAGCCGCAATCGGATTTCAGGGGTAAGGCTGCCACTGCTAGTGACTTCGGTGTTCTCCTCCACGAAGGCTCTCATCTCAGGGTCCAGAATGCTTCCCACTCCCCTCTGGGGACAATGGCCCCGGGGAAACAAGAAGAGGCTACCGCTTGTCACAGTCTGCAGGAGACCCCAGCGTTTCCAACCTAGCCTAGCAGCCATCAGTCCTTTCCCAAAGATCAGGCCCTCGGAAGCTCTGAGAGTAAGGCTGCTCCTTGTCGGGAAAGAACCTGGGGTCTGTCTCTCACTGGATCCCCACCGGAATCTCTGGATCTCTAAAAACAAAAACAATACCGAAAATTCCAAGCTTAACCAACATTTCCAGATCCTAGCACATAATAAGAAAATATTCTAGTATAAGCACTGCCTGACAATTCACAAGTACAAGTTCATTTCAGATGAGGGCTTTGGTGCACCAATATTCTAGTTCCCTTTCACAGCAAAATCTTTTAACAATTTAGAACAACAAATATATAAGCAGGTCTGAGTATGTAGCTCAGTGGTAGAGAGCTTGCCTAGTGTGTGTGTGTGTGGGGGGGGGTCTGGGTTGATTCCCCAGCACTGGGGAAAAAAAATTTAAAAATACATACAAAAGGCAGGAGGCCTGGTGGTACTTGCCTATAATTCTAGCACTCTGGGTGGCTGAGGCAGGAGGATCACAAGTTTGAGGCTACCCTAGGGAATTTAGCAACTCAGCAAAATCCTGTCTCAAAGTTTAAAAATAAAAGGGTCAGGGATGTAGCAAAGTGTGGAGGCCCTAGGTTCAACACCCCATACCATAAATACAGAAAGATCTCCAAGCATTTGCCACTGAGAGAATCTTCAGAAGTATGCCTGTTACATATAGGGTGTGATTGAAAATTACAGTGTGTGTTTACGTGTACGTGTTGTCTTTTTTGTTTTTCTGAGGCAGGCTCTTGCCGTGCAGTTCAGGCAGGACTTGAACACGCTATGTAGCCCAGCTTGGCTTTGAAGTCGAGGCAATCCTCCTGCCTCAGCCACCAGAGTGCTGAGATTACAGGTGTGCATCACCACACCTGGTGAAATGTTTAATTTAAAAAAATAACAGTAATAGAAACATTGCCACTAATCCCCCTTAAAATATCCCCCTTCACCTTGAACATACTTATCCCATTATTTTTGCCACTTCCTGACGCGGTTCTGGAAGAACTTCTTTGGGAGTTCCTTTAGTCACGGCTGTGGCTGCTCTGATGTCCTGCATTGATTCAAAACGTTTACCTGTTGTGGTCATTTTAACTTTTGGGAAGGAGCCATGAGTCATACAGTTGCAGAAAAGGACACAGGTTTTGACCACCCTGTCTTTCCACTAGAGGACGGTACCAGCATTCACCATATTTTTTAATCACACTTTCTAAAGACACTCACAAAACAGGACTCACAGAACTGCTTTAGAAAATGGCAGGAACAATGTCATAGACGTGTTCAATGTGACGAGGAGTTTTGGGGGGACCAATGGCAATGTGTCTTTTACTGTGATACATTTTTTAAAATTTAAACATTCAACATATATTCAATCACAACTTGTAAAATAAGGTATACCTTTAAAGTTCTTTCATACATGGAACAAATCATTAACTTCCAAGCAGGCATGCTTGGCAAATGCTTGAACAAAATAAGAGCCAATTCCTCAACAAAATAAAAGCCCAAAATAAGCAAAATGCCCCACCTTCAGGAAGTTTATATTTTACTGGTGAAACGCAGCAGTTATTAAGGCAAATACAGTTTTCACTTTTGTAAAATCTAGTCAAGAGTAATGAGGGTTAATACATTGTACTGACTACACTATTTCATTACAGCTTGTCCTCTCTCAGTCAGGTTTGGTGGTAATCCCCACTCCTTGGGAAGCTGAGACAGGAGGATCTGTTGGACCCATAAATTCAAGGGTAGCCTGTGCAACATGTTAAGATGCTTTCTTTTAAGAAATTGTTTATCATAAAACAATGCAATCAAGTTTTCAAGAAAAATATTTTTATGAATTTAATTGTAGTAAAAGGACAAATCTCTATATCGCTGGTGACTGAACTTTACTAAGAAAAAATAAGTAGGAATAAGGAACATCTTAAGCACAAAGCACACACCCAGCTGCTTGGTACTCTGAGCTGTTTTGCATAAATCCTCTTACACCACCCAAGCAAAGCAGAAGTCAGGCAGGACACCTGTGGGGTAAGAAGGGCTGTGGCAAAGTGGAGACTGAAATCAGTTCAAGGGGACAGGCAGGAACTTGTGGCCAGATCTTGTAACTTCTCAAAATAATCCAGATATTTGCACATAAGCTTCCACTTTTAGACACTGAGATTCAACTGGCCCCTGGGGGGTCGGGGGCGGTGCTCGTCAGGGTGCTGACGCAGGGTGCAATTTAAACGGGATTTACCCCTGGGGACCCGTGGGGGTCTCTGACGGCTGGGATCTATTCGACTAATTCTGCTCGGCAGTACTGGGTCGTTCCCTCCACATTCAGGGTTAAAATAAAGCCGGCCAGAGCGGGGATTATTAATTTGAGCTTGGTCGCCACGTAGTCTGCCACACAACGCTTGCCCCTTCCCCGCCAGCAGCAAAGGGGACTCAGTCTGAAGGGATTATATGGGGATCTCTTGGTACACGTCTGAAATGTTAGAAAAGCTGACGGGGTAGAAAGGGGTAAATTCCAAAAACTGTTTGTGACCACGTCATCTTCCTTCAAAGCAGGCCTGCAAACACCCTCAGCGGCAGGCACAACCCTTACCTGAGCTCGCAACACCACCCAGAAAAGGAAAGCACCCAGCGGCCTGGGACTCGCCCTGAGGAGGCCGCCTGTGCGCCTGCGCAGACCGCTGAGGGCTGCGGAACGCAAGTGCGGCGGCTTCCGGGCGGCCCGCCTCCTTCCCGCAGCGCTTTCGCCTTGCCTTCCTTTCCTTTCTTTCTTTTAAAAATTGCATCGCCAGTGCGCCGGGGATATCGATCAGTGGATCCGCCGCTCTCCTCGCGAGCACAGCGTCCCGAGTTTGATCCCTGATACACACAAAAAATGTGCATTGCTGCTGACTGATACAGACCCTAGCGTTTGCTAAACTATGCTCCACATTCTCAAATTGGCCCGAAGCGCTGAACCAAAGAGCATCCTTACCTTTATCAAATTCTGATTTGTAAAGTTCACTGTGAAACAATGGGTACAAGTAGCACATGTAGGTAGTGGATGTATGAGCGGTGAAGATAATAGACACTGTCAGCCGTTTATGATGCTTACATTCACCTGCGATTAAATCATGATGTATGGCCTCCGTTTTGTAGGAATTTTCGTGAATGCACAATCTGAGTTTGTTTGCATCCTGTATCCTTAAGTTCTGGATCCACATACTCACCTATCAACTGGACTGGGATATCCCTCTTGCTAATTCAACTCAGCACTCCAAAATTCACCCACCATTACACTTGACAAAAATTGAAGCCTGCTCTGATGTGTAATAGGAGCAGAGTCGTCCAAAAATAAGAAAGGGCAAGCCACGTTTCTGCATGTGATTTTTCAGTTGGAGAAATGGACTGCAGGTACCCGTTCAAAATCAAAGTTTGTCACTTGGATTCTCCCCTTCTGCCAGCAGAGTACTAGTGACCCCGGAGAGGCCATTTGACCCTAACTGGAGTCAAGTACTCTGCTTCAAGATGAGCTGTTTGCAGAAGACCCAAAACAAATTTGTCAGGAGATTCTTAGAACTACTATATTCAGCAAACTGGTAGGATATAAGATCAATGCACAAAAATCAATGGCATTCCTGCACACCGATAATAAGCCCACCATGAAAGAAACAAACCAGAAATCACAATAGCTTAAAAAACAAATCAACAAACAAACACTAAGAATTAACCTAACCATGGAAATGAAAGATCTCTGTAATGAAAACTATAGTACTCTGAAAGAAGAGATTGAAGCCATTAGAAAATGGAAAGATAGGCACAATCAATATTCCCAAAATGGCCCCATTACCAAAAATGATACATAGATTTAATGTAATTCCATTTAAAATGCCAACAGCATTTTTCACAGTAGAGAAAACAATCTTAAAATTCATAAAGAACCAGAAGAGACCCACAAAAGCAAAGGCAACCCTGGGTAACAAGAGCAAAGCCATAGACATCACAAGCCCAGAGTTCAGGTTATATTACAAAACACATGACAAAAACAGCACAATGCAGGCACAAAAACAGACACAAGGATCAGTGGAAGAGAATTGAGGATGTAGAAACAAACCCAGACACATTCAGCAATCTGATCTTTGACAAAGGTGCCAACAACATAGCAGAGGAAAGAGAGCTTCCCCCGCCACCAGTACCAGGGATTAAACTCAGGATCTCAAACTTTTCAGGCAGGCCTGGTGCCACTGAGCTATATCAGTACCAGGGATTAAACTCAGGATCTCAAACTTTTCAGGCAGGCCTGGTGCCACTGAGCTACATACCCAGCCTGAAAGATAGTCTCTTTAACAAATGGTTCTAGGAAAACTGGCTGTCCACATGCAGAAGTATGAATCTAGATCTGTACCTCTCAACTTGTGCTAAAATAAAATAAAAATAGAACAAAGAACTAAATGTTAAAACAAGCACTACTGGAAGATAAAGTAGGTAAAACTCTTAGAGACATAGGTATAGGCAAAGACTTTCTGCACAGAACCCCAATTGCACAAGAAATAAAGCCAAGAATCAACAAATTTAAAAGCATCTACACAGCAAAGGAAACAACCAATGGCGTGAAGAGGCAACCTACAGAATGGAGAAAAATTTTTCAGCTACTCCTTGGACAAAGTACTAATATCTAGACTATATAAAGAATTAGAAAAAAATTAGAACCCAATGAATAAAAGATCCCATAAAAATAGCAGTTGAAATGAATAGACACTTCTCAAAGGAAGTACAAATGGCCAACAAATACATGAAAAATATTCCACAGATTTGGCCATTTAGGGAAATGCAAAACAAAGAAACAATGAGATTCTATCTTATGCCAAAAGCGGGGGGGGCTATTATCAAGAGCTGAGAAAAAGAAATTCTGGCAAAGTTGTAGGGAAAAAGAAACCCTTCTATGTTGTTAGGGGAATGTAATTTAATACAACCATTGTGGGAATAAGGATGGAGATCTCTCAAAAAAAAAAAACCCTGAAAATAGAAATTCCATTTCACCCAGCTGTATCGCTTCTGGCTATCTTCCTAAAAGAGTTAAATACATCATATAAATAGTCATACATGCATACCCATGTTTACAACAGCATAATTCACAATAGCTAAATTATGGAAGCAACGTATAAGCCCATCAACAGATGAGTGAATAAAGAAAGTGTGGTATATATATGTGTGTGTGTGTGTGTGTGTGTGTGTGTATATATATATATATATATAGAGAGAGAGAGAGAGAGAGAGAGTATGTGTGTGTGTGTGTGTGTGTGTGTGTGTATGAGTACTATACAACCATAATGAAGGATAAATGTGAGGCATTTGTAGGAAAATGGAAGCACCTTGAGACCATAATATTAAGTAAAATAAATCAGACTCCAAAGGTTAAATATCACATGTTTCTTTTATATGAAAGACCCATAGCACAAATAACTTAAAGAGCAAAGTAAAAGATAAATGATAGGAAATAGGGAGGTAGACTTTATGGAAATGGAAAGGGGATCTGGGAGGGTGGGGAGGGGAAGGGGAAATAAAAATGGTTAAGATGTGACACCCCTTCCCCAAGATGCATGTCATGATTGTGTAATGCAAACATATACTAAGGAAAGAAATGAAAAGAAATGACAGCAACAGCCTTGGACCTTTCTTGCTATAACAATCATACAGTCATGTTGCCCTGTCCCCAACAGTGTCTTTTCACAAGGATTTCGCACCATCTCCAGCCCAAAGGAGACTTAGAGTGCATGGCCCATCCTCCCTAGCCTTTCTCCCCTTGTCTTTGTGTCCAGGCTGCTCTATCCATAACACACTTTCCCCTTTAAAACCAGCACTGTTGATCTCCCCATCTGGCCAGCTGTCCCTCTAGGCAGTGCATGAGTATCTAAACAAACTTGTCTTCTCTTTGCTCTGGTCCTGTTAAGTTCTTTTACCACTCTGTCATTGGCCTCTGCTACCTAGCACTGCACCCATTTAATGGGTTACAGCTTTCCAGGTTAACTGGAATCTCTAGGAACCACTGAGGGGAAATGACACTTTTAATTTTTTTTTCTCTCTCATTGAGTTTATTGGTACATGTTAGGTACACAGTACAGTTACATTCATCATTGGGATCTTGTACCTTTACGTGACAGGTCTTGGTTCTCATTTTTCCCCTTGCCCCTGCCCTCCCTTCACCCCCTCCTCCCTTCCCTATTTACAAATACTTTATTTCCATTTTTCCATTTTCTCATTTTTTTCTTTTCCCTTACTACCTTTCCACTACCCTTCCCACTTCCCCTACACATTTAGCCCTTCTAATTAATAGCCCCAGTTGCATGCCATTTGCCTCCTAGACAAATGGCCCATTTATTCCTGTCTTAGATTTAATCTACAATAACTGATAGATGTTTTTATGGCCTACATTAATAAGCTTAGGATCTGCTTTTTCCTTGAATTAGCTATGATTTAAACCTTTGTTTTCTGGCCCATAACTTCTTATTTCCACACACTTAATGGTTCTCTGAATAACAATAAACACTGACCATATTCAAGATCAGCATGTCTAAAGTTCATAGCCAGCTTCCATACTATAGCACAATGGATATGTTGTTGTTTTTTGATAGAAAGAAAGGACCAGTTTAAATGGAGCTCAGTGGCATATACCTGCAATCCCAACTATTCTGGAAGTTGAGGCACGAGGATCCCAAGTTTGAGCCCAGCCTAGCAATTTATCAGAGTCATCTCAAAATAAAATTTTAAAGAGGGGCTGAGAGTGCAGCTCAGTGGTAGAGTGTTTGCCTAGCACATTAAAGGGCTTGGGTTCAAGTTGGGGAGGGAGGCATTTTTTTTTTCATCAAAATTTACCAAAATTCATCCAAGCAAACTTTTCAACTACCTGACAACAAATTGAGCTATTCTCTAACCTAAACTGATTGTTTCCTTTAAACACTTGCCATGTTTTTGTTCGGAGAGCCAGTTCTTTAGTAACTGACCTGTCAAGTAAAAAGTGCTATTCATGGTTGGATATGGTGGCACATGCCTGTAATCCTAGCACTATGGGAAGGTGAAGCAGGCAGATTGCAAGTTCATGCCCAAAACTTAGTGACTTAGGGTGATATTCACAGACACACACACACGCACACACACACACACACACACAAAAGCCTGGGATGTAGATCTGTGCAAAGGCCATGGGTTCAATCCCCAGTACCATCACTTCCCCCCCAAAACAATTATTCCCTACTCAAATTTATTTTTAAGGTTTTTTTTGTCTGTTTGTGACAGGTCATTAAATTATAACTATGGGCTGTGGATGTAGCTCAGCAGCAGAGCTCCCTGCTAACAAGTACAAGGTCCTAAGTTTGATCCCCAGTACAAAAAAAAAAAAAAAAAAA